AGCCTTCCTGCTCCTCTGATGCTGCTTGGCCTGCTGTGTTCATCCAGTTTTACAACTTGTTATCTCAGATTCTCCAGCATCTGCAGTTCCTGCTATTTCTTACTAGTCTGATTTTAATTGCATGTGGGGAATATATATATTTGTTCCCCTGAGTGATTTTTGGTAACGTACTAGGAAGCATTATAAATCACATGAATGGAGATTAATTTTGCTTTTGCCTATAGCACCAAAACATTAATGGAAATCTTATTTACTAAGTGGAATTAAATAACATCACTTAGTCTGTATGCTACTAAGTATTCACATGGGAAGGGCACAAATTCATTTTATTTGTGGCAATATGTATGGCTCTGAGAGTGCTGCAATTTTATGTTAAATCTTAAAATGTATACCAGTAAGTGAACAAACCAAACTTATTACTAATTTGTTTTACAGCACGCTTGTTGTTTAAATTGGCTAATTTAGTTATGCAAGGTGGCTCAACTGACATTAGAGACATACTGCAGAAGGCCAGGAGAATTACTAAAAAGACCTGTGATCCATGTGCAGAAGCAAATTTAAACATTCTTGAAGGTTTCCAAAAGTGAGTTCCTTTACTTCTTATTTTTGTCCGCCCGTCATACATATCATCCGTCAAAGACTGTTGGAATGAATTTTGGACCAATAGCAATGCAGGAGATGATTCTGCTGAAGCTGTTTGACCACCTGGTGTGAGCAGTTCTTGTGCTTGCTTCCTGTACAGCTTACAAGGCACACCAGCTTGAGAAAGGCATTGATGCATACAGTCCTTCTGAGTGCTAGAAGCAATTCATTCCATGCTGTCATGACATTACATAGCCCTACACATTGTGCGACACATATTTACAAAATTTGGACCACACGGGTACATTCAATGAGTGTGCACATTATCCACATTAAATTATAAATTGAAAGAAGGGCCCTGCACTAGTATTACTTAAAGAGCTGGGCACAAATCTGCATCAACAATAAGTTTGAAGAACTTTTCGCTATTGTAAAATGTCTCAAAGTAGCCTGGAGTACTTTTGCCGTAATTGTAATGAATTCGTACATTTGGCAAGGAGTGTTGTTGCACCCTCACATTGAGGATAGAAGCTGCAACAGATATGGTCTGCACTTGCAGTGTTCTGGGTCTGCAGCATGTCAGAGACACAGAACGGCAGCGAGGGCATGTACTCTGGGCCCTCTGCCAATTTGGAGCTGGACCTTCCATGTTTCTTGACAGTGACAGGAAGCTGAATGACAGATTTACCAATGCTCCCAAAATGGTGTTGATTTCAATATGGCGCCTCATTTCGTCTTCCCCTTGGGTGAACTGGAGCATGAAACATCTCAACTGCAGCCTATTCATTGCCTAGTGACTCACCATGAGCTGCTTCCAACTCCATATTAGCCTTTACGTTACATGGAACTTAATGCCAGTATCTAAAGTAGTGGTTGTGAGTTTCCAATCAAGTGATAGTACTTCTTGATCAGTAGAGTGATGTTACCGTTTCTCTTCTGACTATTGCTATGGTTGGGCAGGTACCAGTTCTTGAAATTCTGAAAACCGAAATCAGTTGTGATAGGTTGGGTTGAGGGAACAGTGATATGGTAGGCAGCAGAGATTATACCAAATAAAGGGGAACTTGGAGTTGAGAAGGAGCATGAAGTAGGAATCCACCATCATCCTCATTGATCCAAGTGACGTTAGATATTATGGGCTCTGCTGTAGCCAACTCCATGATGAGGAGAAACATTTCCATAGGGGTTGGCTGTTACAAATGACCTTGTCTCCCAGAGGTTCTGCTTCTATTATGCACCAGATTGTCTTGCAGAAAAGAAGGTAGGATGTCAGTAATTACATTGCATTGAGTTTGGGTGATTTGCCTGTCAGCTGAATAGCTAAAGCTGAATAATGCAGACAGAGAGGTGGGTGTAAGGCTAGTATCATTGATTGGTATGTGAGGCTGAGGTGGAGAATCTGTATGCTAGACTGAGTACTGAGTTCAGGAGATAACTGATGGGTGAGTGATAGATTGTGATGATTTGAGCTGTATATTCTGCTCTTCATAGAGGCTGACCCTTTTAACAAGGGATATTTATTTCCCACCAGCCAAAAAAAAGAATTACACAATAATATTTCACATTTTAAAGACTTTTACTGCAAGAAACAAACTAAAATTAACAGTGACTAAACGTTAATTAGTGGATAACTAATACATTGAAATATGGAAAGTTATTTTTCACACCAACTAACTAATTAATACTACAAAAACACCATGTCCCATGATTATATGCTACTCTAGACTCCATGCAGATATGTAGCATTGCAGATAAAGTCCAAATCTTTCCTAGTCTTTTAACTTGCTCTCTTTACCCTGTTATACCATGCAAAGTCTTCCCATCTTCAGGTCCCTCTTGAAAGTCCCTTCACTCAGTCTCTTGAGCATCATCAAACAGACTTACAGCAGCAAGGCACCCTGTAGATGCTCAGAGAACAGAGAACTATTTCCCACCATCATCCTGATTGGGATAACACAACAGCAGTCTTTTTGAAGAAGGGTCCTGACCCGAAACGTCAGCTTTCCTGTTCCTCTGATGCTGCCAGGCCTGCGGTGTTCTTCCAGCTCCACACTTTGTTATCTCTGACTCCAGCATCTGCAGTTCTTGCTATCTCAACAGTCTTTTTCCCTCTGCCTTTAGCAGCATCCTCTCTGTCTCACTGTGCAGGGTCTTGCTGAGGCCCAGATTTTCACTCCTCCAGGTACATAGCCCCTCCCATGCCCCAAAGCCAACATGAGAGAAATTTTCCACAAAAGGCTGATTTTTTTTTTATGGGGTGTGGAGTAGTAACTCGGCCTCATCACCCCGGGAAGTAGTTTAGAAGATAAAGGGGCTATTGTGTATAGGAGACAACCCTCACATACTCCCTATACCTCATCCATGTAACCTGTGCCACCTCATGACCCCTACCCACCCAACATGCACACATTTCATGCCTATCTATGTCAATCTACCCATTCCTGTGGTGCTTTGTATACCCATGCCAACCCATTTCCCATTCATCACCATGACCTTTGCCAACTGAGTGCCAGCTAATGTCAGCCCAAACCTACCCACTCAACACTATGGACCTATGTAGGCACTACAGTAACTTGGTGTCAGCATACGTCAATCTATGACCTCACACTCATCCCATTACGCCTTCTAAACTCTGTCAACTTAGTGCCAACTCATTACAATCCATGTCCCTGTCACCACCCTTTCCCTTACATACTCCATGCTATCTCACTTAGTTTGCATGGTGAACAGATCTCAGGAGTCATGCTGAGATACAGATGAATGTACTAATTAGGAGCTGTAGTAAGCTATTTGGTCTTTCAAACTTGCTGTATCATTCAACATGGCTGATTTGCTTCTGTTCTGAATTACACGTTCCCATCCATTTCTGATAACCTTTGATTCCCTTTCCTCACAAGAATCTATCAACTGCCACTTTGAAGATATTCAATGATGCTCCCTCAACCACTTTTTGAGACAGTGTTCCAAAGTCACATAACTGGCTGAGAGAAAAGAATCCCTCTTATCTCTGTCCAAAACAGCCGGCCCCTAATATTAAAATCGTGTCCCTTAGTTCTAGACCTGTGAGAAAGAGAAAACATACTTTCCATGTCCACCTTGTCAAGACCATTCAGAATCTTGTAAACTTCAATTAAATCATCATTCACTCTTCTAAGCTCCAGTGAAAACAAGCTCAGCCTGTTCAATCTTTCCTCACTCCAGCTATCAATCTAATAAACCTCCTCTGAATTCCCTCAAATAAGGAAACCAAAATTGCACAGTATAAATGAAATGTCAACCCTTCACTTTTATGTTCAATTCCTCTTGTAATAAAGAAAAGCATTCCATTGGTCTTCTTAAATACTTTATCTACTCGCATACTAATGTTTTGTGACTTATGCGCTAGGATACCTAGATTTCTCTATACCTTAGAATTTGCAGTCATAGAGTCATAGAGCTGTACAGCATGGAAACAGACCCTTCAGTCCAACTCATCCATACAGACCAGATATCCTAAATTAATCTAGTCCCATTTGCCAGCATTTGGCCCATATCCCTCTAAACCCTTCCTAATCAAATACACATTCAGATGCCTTTTAAACATTGTAATTGTACCAGACTACACCACTTCCTCTGACAGTTCATTCCAGGTATGCACCACCCTCTGCATGATAAAGTTGCCCCTTAAGTCCTTTTTAAATCTTTCCCCTCTCACCTTAAAACTATAACCTTTAGGTTTGGACTCCACTACCCTGGGAAAAGACCTTGGCATTTTACTCTATGATATTATAAACTTCTTTAAGGTCACCCCTCAGCCTCTGACACTCTAGGGAAAATAGCCCCAGCCTATTCAGCCTATCCCTTTAGTTCAAAACCTCCAACCCTGGCAACATCGTTATAAATCTTTTCTGAACCGTTTAAAGTTTCACAATATCCTTCCTATCGCGGGGAGACCAGAATTGCACACAGTATTCCAAAAGTGGCCTAACCAATGTCCTGTACAGCGCAAAATAATGTCGCAACTCCTATATTCAATGCACTGACCAGTAAAGACAAGCATATCAAACGCCTTCTTCTCTATCCTGTCCACCTGCAACTCTACTTTCAAGGAACTATGAACCGGCACTCCAAGGTTTCTGTTCATCCACACTCCCCAGGACCTCATTCTCCAGTTAAGTAATTCTCTGCATTTTTATTCTTCCTTTCAAAGAGAACAATTTTTAATTTTTCACATTTACTCCATCTGTCAGATTCTTGCCCACTCACTTAACCTATCTATATTGATCTATGTTCTACTTAGGTCATGTTCACAATATAGTTTCCTACTAATGTGTCACCTGCAAATTTAGTTACCATACCCTCAGCCAGCAGAGGGAGACAGAAGCCTGGGAGTAGCTCAGCCGAACACTACAATCATTGAATTGAGAAGCAACACCAACTTTGTGCGCTGTTATGAGCTGGATTTCTCCACTTCATTTCTGTTTTGTTCATGACACCAGGTAGAGAATTCAGTTAACAGGACTGAAAGTGTTATATCTGAATGCACGCAGTATAAGAAATAAGGTTATGAGCTTGTGGCGCAGATCGAAATTGGCAGATATGACATGGTGGGCATCACTGAGACATAGCTGCAAGGGGATCAGGCTTGAGAGCTGAATATCCAAGGATGTACATCCTACTGAAAAGATGGGCAGGTGGGTAGAGGGGGTGGGGTTGCCTTATTAGTATGAAATGAAATTAAATCAATAGTAAGAAATGAAGTAGGGTCAGATGGTGTAGAATCTGTGTGGGTTAGAACTGAGGAACCACAAAGGTTAAAAAAAAAACATAGTTGGAATTGTGTTCAGCCCTCCAAACAGTAGTCAGGAGCTGGGGTGCAAGATATGCCAGGAGATAGAAAGTGTGTGTAAGAAAGGCAAAGTTACACTGATCATGGGAGATTTCAATATGCAGGTGGACTGGGAAAATCAGGTTGTAGTGGATTGCAAGAAAAAGAATTTGTGGAATGTCTATGAGATGGCTTTTTGGAGCAGCTTGTGGTAGAGCCCACAATGGAACAGGCAATACTGGATTTAGTTGATACAGTGTGGAGCGATGAAGGGTCTAGGCCTGAAATGTCGACCCTCCTGTTCCTCTGATGCTGCCTGACCTGCTGTGTTCCTCCCGCTCCACACTGTATCAACTCTGACTCCATCATCTGCAGTCCTTGCTATATCCTAATACTGGATTTAGTGTTGTGCAATGAGGCAGACTTGATACAGAAGCTTAAGGTGAAGGAACCCTTAGGAGGCAGTGATCATTATATGATTGAATTTACTCTGCAATTTGAGAGGGAAAAGATAGAATCAGAGGTAACGGTATGACAGCTGAATAAAAGCAACTACAGAGGCATGAGAGAGGAGCTGGGCAGAATTGACTAGGAGATTAGCCTATCAGGAAAGACAGTGAAACACCAATGGTAGGAGTTTCCAGGAGTAATTTAGGAGACACAGCAAAAATTCATCCCTAGGAAAAAGAAGTGTGGTACAGGGAAGATGAGGCAACCATGGCTGACTAGGGAAGTCAGGGATAGCATAAAAACAAACGAGAAAGCATATAATGTGGCAAACAGCAGTGGGAAACCAGAGGATTGGGAAGCTTACAAAGACCAACAGAGGGCAACAAAAAAAAGGGGGGAGAACATTAAATATGGGGGTAAGCTAGCCAGTAATATAAAAGAGGATTGTAAGAAAGAGTTTCTTTCGATATATAAAGAGCAAAAGAGAGACAAAAGTGGACATTGGACCGCTAGGAAATGATGCTGGAAAGTTAGCAGTGGGGAACAAGGAAATTGCTGAGGGACTGAATAATTTACTTTGCATCAATCTTGGCTGTGGAAGACATGAGTAATATCCCAAAAATTCAAGAGAGTCAGGGTGCAGAGCTGAGTATGGTGGCTATCAACAAGGAGAAGGTGCTAAAAAACTAAATGACCTTAAAGTGGATAAATCATCCGGACCTGATGGACCACAACCCAGAGTTCTTAAGGAGATAGCTGAAGAGATAGTGGAGGTAGTAGTGATCTTTCAGAAATCGCTAGAGTCAGGGAGGGTCCCAGAGCACTGGAAAATCACTAACATGACACCCCTGTTTAAAAAGGGAGTAAGGCAAAAGATGGGGAAAAATACAGGCCGATTAGCCTAATCTCGGTCGTAGATAAGATTTTGGAGTCCATCGCAAAGGATGAGATTTCTGAATACTCGGAAGTGCATGGCAAAATAGGGCAGAGTCAGCATGGCTTCATCAAGGGGAAGTCATACCTGACAAATCTGTTAGAATTCTTTGAGGAAGTAACAAGCAGGTTAGAGCCAAGAGAGTCAATGGATGTTATCTACCTGGACTTCAAGAAGGCCTTTGACAAGGTGCCACACAGGAGGCTGCTGAGTAAGATAAGGGCTCATGGTGTTCGAGGCAAGGTGCTGGCATGGATAGAAGATTGACTGTCTGGCAGAAAGCAGAGATTGGGGATAACAGGGTCTTTCTCAGGATGGCAGCCGGTGACAAGTGGTGCTCCGCAAGAGTCAGTGTTGGGACCACAACTTTTCACTTTATACATTAATGATCTAGATGAAGGAATTGAGTGCGTCTGGCTAAGTTTGCAGCCAATACAAAGATAGGTAGAGGGACAGGTATGAGAGGCAGGGAGGCTGCAGAAGGATTTGGACAGGTTAGGAGAGTGGGCAAAGAAGTGGCAGATGGAGTACAATGTGGGAAAGTGTGAGGTCATGCACTTTGGTAAGAATAGAAGCATAGACTGTTTTCTAAATGGGGAGAAAATTCAGAAGTCTGAAGTACAAAGAGACTTTGGAATTCTAATCCAGGATTCTCTCAAGGTAAACTTGCAGGTTGAGTCAGTAGTTAGGAAGGCAAATGCAACTTTGGCATTTATTTTGAAAGGACGTGAATTTCAAAGCAGGGATGTACTTCTGACGCTCTATAAGGCCCTGGTCAGGCCACATTTGGAGTATTGTGCACAGTTTTGGGCCCCATATCTCAGGAAAGATGTACTGGCCCTGGAGTGGGTTCAGAGGAGGTTCACGAGAATGGTCCCAGGAATGAAAAGCTTAATATATGAAGAACGTTTAAAGACTCTGAGTCTATACTTGATGGAGTTTAGAAGGATGAGATGGGGATCTAATTGAAACTTACAGAATACTGAACAGAGTGGACTTTGAGAAAATGTTTCCATTAGCAGGAGAGACTAGGACCCAAAGGCACCGCCTTAGAGTAAAGGGAAGACCTTTTAGAACAGAGATAAGGAGAAACCTCTTCAGCCGGAGAGTGGTGAATCTATAGAATTCACTGCCACAGAAGTCTGTGGAGGCCAGGTCATTGAGTATATTTAAGATGGAGATAGATAGGTTCTTGATTGTCAAGGGGATCAAGGGTTACGGGGAGAAAGAGGGAGAATGGGGTTGAGAAACCTATCAGCCATGATTGAATAGCAGAGCAGACTCAATGGGCTGAATGGCCTAATTTCTGCTCCTATGTCTTATGGTCTTATGTTCTTAACAGATTGATCATGTATGATAGCCAACTCTTCCTCAATTCAAAATTGTTTTGTTCAAACGATCAGACAAACTGTTAACATTATGTTCACACTTAGCTTTGTTTTTATGTTGCTTATTTCAATAAGTGCATAATAAGGTAAAGTAGCCATGGACTTACCACCATGTGGCTGTTCTCTCATTAGACAAACGATTGGTAATAGTTTAACCCGAGTCACAACACCTCAGGTGAGGTGAGAGGTTGAGAAGGAGAGTCTGTCATGGTAACCTGAGCCATTGTGGGAATTAAACCCATGTTGTTGGAATCACTCTGCATCACAAACCAGCCATCCAGCCAACTGAGCTCAGTTGTCCTCAGTGTTCTGGCCAATATTTATCCCTCAACCAAGGTCACGAAAAAGAAAAGAATTACCTCATCAGTATCACATTGCGGTTATGGGACTGCATGGTATGCAAATTGGTTGCTGCACTTTCCAAATTACACCATTGACTTCAATTCAAAAGTATTTAATTTGTAAAGTGCCTTGAGACATTCAGAGGTTGTGCAAGATGCTATTTAAATGTAATTCATTTTAGGTGATATTGTTAATATGGTTGCAATCCTATTATTAGCATCAATAATGTATAATTGTAGCATTGCTTTGAAATAAAATTAAGATTTTAAGATTAATAATTAGAGTTTAAATTTCTTTCTTTTTAGGTTACATTTAAATAAACTGCTTGAAGCTGAAAATTATTTTAAACAGGCTTTAGATATCAGGCAAAAATGGTATGGAAATTTGCATCCTGTAGTTGCTGAGGTACTAGAACCCCTGGCAGATTTGCTGTGCTATCCTAAGTACTCAAAAAGGTAAATGTTACAATCTATACTTCTTCCTCCCTAAGAAAATAAACAGGTGAAATGTTTTATGGCCAAAATATGAATTGCTATGAATTTGTCTGCAGTAGTGCTGCGAATGTATGGCTTAAGTATGTTAGTCATTTGTATTGGTTCAGTGGTGCCTCTGTTGGTACAAGTGGAATTGGAGGGCACAGATTAGTGCTGATATCAGCTTGGCTGTTGGAAAGGTAGCAAATCAGGCCTAGAAGTTCCACCTTCTGGATGAAAGACGAGCTTGGAATCCCAGGTGCATTTTATCCTGCATACATTCCAGTGCACAGGCACGAAGTAGCTGACTGGTTTGTGAACTAGTGATTAATTATCAATGCAAAGTCCTTTTGTTCATCAACAACTATATGATTGACTGTCAGGTAGCTGGGCAGCTTGGGAGTATGAATCTTTTGAATCCTAGAATTCCTACAGTGTGAAAACAGGCCATTCAGCCCATACTGAACCTCCAAAGAGTAGCCCACCCACCTACCCTTTCCCTGGCTAATCCACCTAGCCTGCACATCCCAGGGCGCTATGGGCAATTTAGCATGGCCAATTCATCTAACCTGCACATTTTTGGACCGTGGGAGGAAACTGGATCATTCGGAGGAAACCCACGCAGACACAGAGAGAACGTGCAAACTCCACACAGACACTTATTCGAGGATGGAATTGAACCCGGGTCCCTGGTGCTGTTAGGCAGTAGTGCTAACCACTGAGCCACCATGCCACCCTAAATGGTAGAAGCAACCGCATCTCCATAAGAACAGGAGCTGTCTCTTTCCTCTTTAATTAAAAAGACACTTAAATCTGAAGAGAGCTAGTTCATTTTTCTCCTCAACAATTGATGAAAGCAGTGGTTCTTAAACAGTAAGCCAGAGACTTTATACGTGTGAACCAGTCACCCTGTGCCTCCTTTAATCGAGTGGAAGTATACAGAAAAGGAGAAGCAAGGAGCAATTGATTCTGACAAACCAAATAGACCATCTCAGCTGACACTATGATCAAGTACCATTGAATTGCCTTCACAGTTGTTTCCTCTGCCCATCCCACTCGTACTTTTTTCCTCTGCGTCTATCTATAGAGGGGGAGTTTATAAGGGAGTTAGAGTTTTAGCTAGAAAATTTACATGTTGAAAGTTCATAATTTGTTTATTTTTAGTTAGAATCTGTTTAGTTATAATTTGTTGTCATTCTTGTTAATTGTGGCAATCTAGTCCTTGTGTTTTGTCAACCTGGGTCTGAAAGACAGGTGAATTGGGGAATTCTGCATTCCATTTGAAAGCTTTAACTTTTGTGTTGACTCCAAGAATGGCATAGCTTGATTTCCAGCATGTTACTCCCATGAGATGTAACAGAAAATGATGCTGCAAAAAAATAGTTTACTAGGAAATTTGCTTTAATGTTCTGTCCAAATGGATACAAACCCTTTCATGCTGCATTTAAACATCAACTTCGAATATGAATGAAAATCCTGTGATAAATCATGAACAAAAACATGATCCATGAAAATGTAAACATCAGACAGTTGCATTTGATGGAGTCGAATGGTTGAAAAAGTCCTGCCCATCTCTGTCTCTTATTTCAATGGAAGAGCATTGAAACTGCCAGTAGAATGGTGCAAACACCTGATGGCCATTTATATGGTTTATTTTAGGTTTCTACTGCTGCAGATGTCCAATAGTAGCCCCATGGAATTTAAGGGCCTAGTGTTTGAGTCAATTTTGATCTGAAAATGCATCCTATATGATATAAATAGTGGGGATATTTTCAAAAGCAAATCAATTTGGAAGGTAACATAGATGACTTTAAGAGAAACTGTAAGATATAACTACAGAGCACTTCACATCAGAAACTCATCTTGGGGCTGACTCTCACGATCTGCCTTGATTTTGTTATTTGGAATACGTGAGGTCAGGTTATTTGTTGGGTGACTTGGCTTTTCAATAGATTGCCTCTTTATCCTTTCACACAGTGATGCTTTCTTAATTTGTAGCTTAGACTGGAGTCAATCAAAAAGGCTTTACGAACAAGTGGTCAAAATTCAAGAGGACAGAATGCAGCGGGCCACATCTTCAGAAATTAGAGATCAGGTCAATCTCCACAGAGCTATTACTATCTATAAACTAGGTAAGATAAATATATTGATAAATATATCCTATTTCTTTGTGTATGGATAAGTGAGTTTCCTAAATTATTAACTTGTTGTTATCTGCCCTTTGTAGTAGTAATATTCACACATTCATAAATTGCCCACAGCTTTGCATATGACCCATTAATTAGAAAAGACCTATACATGAGCTGACACCAGAGTTAGGAGAAAAAGATATATCAGAAATCCTCTCTACAGAGAGCTGCTTAATGGTCACAATCTGCGTATGTGTTGTGACAATTTGCATAGTAAAATTGACTGGGAAATAGTGGCATAGCAATTTACAAAGCATAATTAGAAAAGAAAAAGATAATTAAGATGATGATAACTTTGAATAAGATCCTATAGACTGAAACTTGTTTCAGTAAAAGCATGTTAATATTTCTGCAAGTGTAGTTTAGATGCAAGTGGAATAAACCTTTGCAGGTTGTAAATAAAACCAAATGATGCAGAAAAGAAGAAAAAAAGAAAACAAGGTTACTTAGCATTTGGGCTATAAGCAATCACAGCTTTTGTGACACCTCAAACAAAACATTGCAAAATAAGCATTCTCCCATCCAAGATCGAGCCAAGGAGGAATTTTTTCTCTCAGATGTTTGTTCATCTTTGGAATTGCATTCCATAGAAAGCAGTGTAAGCAGGATCATTGACTGTATTCAAGGCTGGGTTGACAGATTTTTGTTCTACAAGGCAGTATGTGGAACAAGCAGGAAAGTGAAATTAAGGTCCTAACCAGATCCACCAAGACCTTATTGAATGGCCTACTCCTTGTCCTATATCTTGTGACTTTTTTATGATTTTAATGTATATTTTTACTGATATTAGCATTTTCTGACTCTATTTATTCATTCATGTTTTAGTTTTATTATAGTGAAACGATATCCATGAAAAATATTTCCTAATGTATAGTTCATCCTGTCCAGACAAATTGAAGCTAATCGTTGAATCATAGAGATTTACCAAACACCTTTTGTTTATACAAAACAGTCATGAAATACTACTGTGTCCATAAAACCAGCATGTTTTATGACCAGGTGAGGAGGGATGAATTAGTTCCTGTCTTTTTAAGCCTCCCTTGGTTGTCTGCCACAAAATGTTTTAGTTCTTTTTAGCCTGTAAACACGTTTGAATTAAAATGTAGTATTGGTAATTGAAAGGAAAAGAGGAATTTCATTACTTACTAATGCCCCCCCCAAAAAAAAATCAGACATATATGCACATACAGATAGAAATTTGTAAAACAGTAAATGTCTAGTACAATAGGAAAATAAAGCATAAGCAGTTTAAAAAGTTTTGAAAGAGCCTTTGAGTTGTTATAACTGAATTTTAGAACATGGCTGTCTTGCTGATGGCTTGTATCATCATCTGTATTGAAGTTTGTAGAATCCTTGAGTTGTGGGTGAGTGAATGTTTTTCTGAGTTGTTCTATCACTGGTGCTGGTTTTTGAGTTGTTGAGAAGGAACTGGAGAGAGAGAGTGCCTTTCAGTCCTGCTATTACCAATCCATGTTCTTTCTCTGCAGTCCAAAAGTTGTTTTCCTGAAATGCAGTTTGCATGTACATTCCCTTGGCTGGTACTTTTTTTATTCCAAGCTGGATGATCCCAGCTTATTAAGTTTCCAGAAACGTGTAAATCAAAAATAGGAGAGGGCAGTTTCTTCATACCTGGCTGAGTTTTAGTGCCTTTTGATAAAATATTAATTTTGTCTTATTCTGTCTTATTTTATCTCACATTGGTTTTTTGAACTTGGTTCAACCTGATCAGGTGACCACAACTGACAACTTAAAATCGTATTTCTTCCTTTTTAAAACCATTATAGTCCATTAAGGACTCAGATATTAAAACTAGATGATGGAAGTTGAAAATTGATAGTCCAAATAGTACCACTATTGTGACAAGCACATGATGGAACTTTGTCAGAGTTGGAAGATAGTGAAGGTGCTGAATAGTTTTGACATTTTGAATCATGACTTATTACTGAAAAGTCCCTCTAGTATCCAAAACCAGTATTGTTTTCATCATTTGCTCATCATGCTACTATCAGTAAAAATGAGCTGACATTTGTTACAGCAATAACTGATCCTATGAAAATCCAATTCTGTATAAGCTTAAATGAAGTATTGTTTCTGCATGAAGACATGGACTTCTAGATATGGTTATTTGTACAGGATATAAAGAGAAAAGACAACTTGTGCAATGGAAAGTATGAAATCTGCTGTTTGGTATTTTGCAATTTTATATTTCTCTAAATAGGTAAACTATTAAAAAGTGAAGGCAATTGTCTGGCTAGAAAAAAAGCAGCAGAATGTTTACAACACTCATGTGACTTACTAACTGAACTGCTGGGTCCTAATCATCATTTAACAATGGAGGTGCGAAGGTATGACATGTTTGGATGTTCTCAATTTTTTTTAAAATATGAAGTATTGTATCTCAGAAGTATCTTTTTCCTCATAGGCTGCTGAAACATACAGAGAAACAAGTCTGCAAAGATATGACACTTTTGATGAATTTGGATAGTCCTAAAGTGTCTACCAGTTTGCTAACAGCAAAGAAAGATGATCAGCCAGAGTCTGATTCACAATATCCTTATGAAAGCTTGAAGATGCACCCTGATTCGAAGACTTTAGCCAGCAGCCAAGCTGACAGTCCACAGATGACTGCCCATGTCAACTCTGCACAAACAACACAACCTGTTGACAGTTCAATAGAAAAGACACAAACAGGTGTTGATTATAACATATATTCTGATGATCCTGTTGTACTCGAACAGGATATAATAGATTATAATGTTAATTTCGAAGAGGAATGTTTAACCAATTCAAGATCTGGTTCAAATTTATATATTTCTAAACATGCTTTGCTTCCAAGGCCAACTTTATGGATGGAACAGCCAAAATCTAGTCACCCAGATATGAAAAGCAATTTATCAACAACAACCAAAAAACAGTCCTTGCTCGGTTCAATCTGCAGACCATTAACTACTTGCAAAGTGTCTGCGTTTGGGCCTAATATTAACACTTTAGTACCACCTTTAAGAACTAAAGCAGGATCAGAAAGACTCAGAATCATTTACCAATCAGGTTGGCATCATCCACCAGGACTGCACCCAGCTCTTAAAAAGCCTTTCTCATCCGTGAGACATGTGCTGAAAAGGAATCCTGAGATAACTTGGAATGTGCATCACATAAATACACCTAAGTGCAAAGCCAGCTGGCGGTAGATTTGGCTGAGATTTCCGTGTAACTTGTTTTGCTTTCAGGTAGGACTGTCCAGTAAGATGCATATTCAAACTGAATGAAGTTTGAAATATTAGAGGATGTCTCAACTGATATCATTCTTGCATTCCTTTTCTTTACCAGTTTGGAGAGTAGAACCCCAGACATCTAATTAGAGGCACTAAGGATTTTATAGACAGGTATTGTCTATATTGACTAACAAATAAAAGAGAAAAATGATAAGCATGATTTCTTTCTTTTTATTCTGTTCTTTAAATTCAATATAAGGGACACTAAAAATGAAGATTTATAAAATGTAAAAACCACTAGATAGCAATATCTGTGGAATAGTATTTTTTGACAGCATTGTTACAATCAACTCTTGTGGTTGTCATTCCCAAGAAGATAACTGTGTTTAAAAAGTGTTAAGTCCACACTTTTAATGACAGTTTTATTTCAGTTAACGATATAACTCACACCTCACTGATTATTTGACAGTTTCTTTGATCCATACATTTTATAGCCAACCAGGAAACAGACTAGATATCTTCTAATCAATCAATTCAGGAATGTTATATCACATCTCAGGAGCTGGTGGGACTTGAACTCAGGATTCCTGGTTCAGATTTTTTTTCCCCTAATCAATCTATTCAGAGATGTTATTACACACCTCTGGAGCAGATGGGACTTGAACCTGGGTCTCTTGGTCCAAAGTTAGAGACACTACCACTGCACTACAAGAGAACCCTCCCTGATTCAGATTATTAGCTCCCCATATTTATGCCACCAATTCCCTCCCAATTAACCCTCTATTAATATACCTGTCATCATCAGTTCTTGCATTCCATTAGGTCACATGAATTCCTTCAGATGATATTAGATTTCCCTTTCTAATGTTCAGATCAATCAATATATATAGTAAAAACATACAAAACAACACTTTTCAACTTTGCATGTTAAAGTTCAAGTGTCCTTTTTCCAATAGGTCCAACAATTTCTTAGAATTTGCTCCTTTCTTTGTAAAGTAATCAGATAGCTGACTGCTGTTATCCATGTATTTCACTTTGGAATTTCTCCATTCTCTGTTTTAAACTGCAATGTCAATTCTCAGTTGTATTCATGAATACATTTTATTAGTGTACATTATCAGAAGAGGTTGGAGTGGAATGGTGATGCCACTGGATCAGTAATCCACAAATTCAGTCTAAGGATCTGGAGATAACAAGGTGTAGAACTGGATGAACACAGCAGGCCAGGCAGCATCAGAGGAGCAGGAATGCTGACGTTTCGGGTCTGGACCCTTCTTCAGAAATGGGGGAGGGGAAGGGGACTCTGAAATAAATAGAGAGGGGGGGAGGCGAATGGAAGGTGGATAAAGGAGCAGATAGGTGGAGAGGAGATGGACAGGTCAAGGAGGCTGGGAAGGAGCCAGTAAAGGTGAGTGTAGGTGGGGAGTTAGGATGGGGGTTGGTCAGTCAAGGGAAGACAGACAGGTCAAGGATACGGGGATGAGGCTGGTAGGTAGGAGGTGGGGGTGGGGGTTGGTCAGTGAGGTGGGAGGAACGGAGAGGTGGGAGAAAAGACGGACAGGTCAAGGAAGTGGGGATGAGCTGGGCTGGTTTTGGGATGAGGTCAGAGGTGGGGAGAATTTGAAGCTTGTGAAGTCCACATTGAGACCATTGGGCTGCATGGTTCCCAAGCAAAATATGAGATGCTGTTCCTGCAACCCACTTCATTTTCTCACAAGAAAGATACGCCGTCCCACCTCTGATTTGTTACATTTTGCAATTAAACATTGGAAAGTCTAAAGCCAATGCTTTCAGCCGTTACCACAAACTTGTTCTCATCTTTGTGTCATCACTGTTTGTGATTGTTGGGAATAAAATTACATGATCCTCAGCATTGACTAAAATACATCCTACTCCCTGGATGTTGTTTCAGGTTGAACCAGAATTTTTTGGTGTGGACCTGACTGTTCACTACTTTGGTGTCCTATTTGATCTTGAACTTAACTTTCATTCCCGTCCATTGGCAAAATATCCCATTCCTGCAGTGTTTTCTGCCTCTGTCTCTGTCTCTACTTTAGCTCATCCACAACTGAAATTCTCAACCCTTGCCTTTGATACTCCAGCACAACCATTCTAGTGTTCCCCAACCAGACTTCCTAGTTCCAGTATGCATAAACTTTGGCTCATACAAAACTCTGAGGTCTGTATCCGAACTCTGACTCAGTCCCATTAATACTTCACACTCTATGCTCAGTGACCTTTGACCTTGATTTATTCACTGTTTTCAAATTATTCTATTGCCATGTCACACAAACATAAGTTGCTGGAAAAGCTCAGGAGGTCTGGCAGAATCTGTAAAGTCAAAAATCAGAGTTAATGTTTTGGGTCCAGTGACCTTTTCTCAGAACTGTCCTGGGGAAGGGCCACCGGACCCAAAACATTAACTCTGATCTTTTTCTTCACAGATGCTGTCAGATCCGCTCAGCTGAACATAGAACATAGAACAGTACAGGCACTTCGGCCCACAATGTTGTGCCAACCTATTATTCTACTAAGATCAAACTACCCTGCATACCCTACATTTTACTATCCTCTATGCGCCTATCCAAGAGTCGCTTAAAAGTCTCTAAAGTATCTGACTCCACTACCACTGCCGGCAGCGCATTCCACACGCCCACCACTCTCTGTGTGAAGAACCTACCTCTGACATCTCCCCTATACCTTCCTCCAATCACCTTAAAATTATGCCCCCTCGTAATAGTCATTTCCACCCTGGGAAAAAGTCTCTGACTATCCATTCTATCTATGCCTCATCATCTTGTACACCTCTATCAAGTCACCTCTCATCCTTCTTTGCTCCAATGAGAAAAGCCCTAGCTCCCTCAACCTTTCCTCGTAAGACCTGCCCTCCAGTCCAGGCAGAATCCTGGTAAATATCCTCTGCACCCTCTCTAAAGCTTCCACATCTTTCCTATAATGAGGCGACCAGAACTGAACACGATATTCCAAGTGTGGTCTAACCAGGGTTTTATAGAGCTGCAGCATAATCTTGCGGCTCTTAAACTCAATTCCCCTGCCAATGAAAGCCAACACACCATATGCCTTCTTTACAACCCGATCAACTTGGGTAGCAACTTTGAGGGATCTATGGACGTGGACCCCAAGATCCCTCTGTTCCTCCACACTGCCAAGAATCCTGCCATTAACCCTGTATTTTGCATTCAAATTCAACATTCCAAAATGAATCATGTCACACTTTTCTGGGTTGAATTCCGTCTGCCACTTCTTTGCCCAGCTCTGCATCCTGTCAATGTCCCGCTGCAACCTACAGCAGCCCTCCACACTATCCACAACTCCACCAACCTTTGTGTCATCGGCAAACTTACTAACCCACTCTTTGACTTCCTCACCCAAATCATTTATAAAGATCACAAAGAGCAAAGGTCCCAGAACAGATCCCTGCGGAATACCACTGGTCACCGAGCTCCAGGCTGAATACTTTCCATCTACTACTACCCTCTGTCTTCTATTGGACAGCCAGTTTTGTATCCAGACAGCCAAATTTCCCTGAATCCCATGCCTCCTTACTTTCTGGACGAGCCTACCATGGGGAACTTTATCAAATGCCATGCTAAAATCCATATACACCACATCCACTGCTCTGCCTTCATCAATGTGTTTTGTCACATCCTCAAAGAATTCAATAAGGCTTGTGAGGCATGACCTGCCCCTCACAGAGCCATGCTGACTATTTCTAATCAAATTGTGCTTTTCCAAATAATCATAAATACTATCTCTCAGAATCCTCTCTAATAATTTGCCCACCACAGAAGTAAGACTGACCGGTCTGTAATTCCCAGGATTATCTCTGTTCCCTTTCTTGAACAAGGGAATGACATTTGCCACCCTCCAATCATCTGGTATAACTCCATTTGACAGTGAGGACACAAAGATCATCGCCAAAGGAGCAGCAATCTCTTCCCTCGCTTCCCGTAGAAACCTTTGGCATATCCTGTCTGGCCCAGGGGACTTATCAATCCTCATGTTTTTCAAAAATTTCTAGCTTTTCCTGCAACTTCTGTTTTTGTTCCTGATTTACAGCATCCAGAGTTCTTTCGGTTTCTATTGCTATGCTAGCCTCCCATCTCTCCACGAAATGTCCAGCAAACCCAGTTCTACAGTTCTACAGCTCTCCGAGAATTCACTGTACCTCTCTTGTGCACCCCAATGTCCTTGGCCCTACCATGTGTTCCTATGCTTCTGACAATCTCCGCCCTGAGCACCAGAATACCTCTATAAACCTCTCCAGCTTGCTTTCCTCCTTTAAGAAGAATAATGGCATATTGATAATGTTGCTGATCTAGTGATTAAAAGACCTGACTACTTTGAGGACACAAATTCAACTTCCACCACTACAACCTGTCCCTTAAGCTACTTGCAACAGGCAGAGTACTGATTATATCCAACCAGCTCGTGTTTGCAAAATCCAGAAGATGGTGTCCAACATTAAATATGATACCATGATTAGTCACTTGATAAACTATCCTGATTGTGCTAAGAGTTACACTAACAACCAATTTGAGATTTAATTTGGGCTTGTGGTATTGTTCACTTATATGTGTTAGAAGCCAAATAGCAAACATTGCACCTTGTTAATTAAACAAAATCTTGGTGGACAGCCTCTTCTAAGGATGCCTAGCCTGAAGAAGTTACCCTCCTCCCTCCTGACAAACCTCAGGGGATCTCTCTCCCACTGCAACTCTCTCGTAATCTCTTCGGCCCTGAAACTGTTCGACCATGTCCTGAAGCAAACCAGGTACTACAGCCACATCACCTTTCTTAGCACCTGCCTATGGAACCAGATCATTCCCAATGGACTACAATCCACATTCAAGCCTTCCCAATTTGGCCCCAACCGTGACAATATCTACACTCATAGCATTGAGATCCTTCAGAAGCGTTTCTCCCTGCGACTCCTGAAACACACACTTGCAGCAATGCGCCGGCATCTCCAGGCACTACAATCAAGCCTACCCCAGCTCAGAGCCTCCCTCTCCCAGACCTGCAAAGGACCTCTCCTGTTTTTTATTCTTCGTAGGATCCACAACCTGAACTCACAATTCTACTCAGCTTTATTGGACACTAAAAACCGTAAGTACAGTAAACTTACTGGTGCCTACCACCCAAAACGGGCTTCCTCCACCCCCCAAATCCCCAGCCATACCCAGAACCTTC